ATAAATGTATGTATATATACATAAAAAATCCCGTTAAATGACCAACAACAGATATACCATGTCGAATAACCATGAACTGATATGTTACTGATGAATCAAACCTACAATTGGAAAATTGCGTCATATAACGAAAACATGATATATTGCCGTCAGTAACCAATAAAATGATGTACTTTACCTGTTTGGCAGTCATATCACCAACAACTGATATATTATCGCTGTCATATAACTAACAAATGATATCCCTATCATGCAACCAGGTTTGTTATATAATTATCGTGGCTTTGAAACAGTTTTTATGAAATTTATAAATGACGTAGGAGATGAAAAATAATGATGAGATAAAACCCATAGCTCAAAATGATAAAAATAATAACATAAGCACATGGCTCGAAGTCCATGATACAAATTCTCACCCGCATGCATTATATACAAAGTTCTTTGATCTTACATACATAATTTCGTTCTTCAATAGATAGTATACTATACAGTATTACACAAACCCTTGCTATCCATTCCATTAAAGAAATTAAAAAAAAACAACAACAACAAACAAACTAAATAAAACGATCCCCCCCCCCAAAAAAAACCCCCCACAAACAAAACAACAACCCAGAGTTAAAAAAAACAAAACAAAAAAACAACAATAAACAACAACAACAACAACAATAAGAACAACAACAACAACAACAACAACAGCAACAACAACAACAACAACGACGACAACAACAACAACAACAACAACAACAACAACAACACAGTCCTCCATTGACACACACAACGCTGGAGAAAAGGAAACTAAAAATCCAAGCACAGGTAGAGATAATATTTGTTTAGTCTTACGGAATGTTTTACGGCACTTTCAACCTTTAACACTATGCAGTCACATAACTGCAGAAAATTGGAAGTGTTGCATGAGTAACAAACACAAAAAAAGGACGATAGATATTTGATAGGAAAGAAAGACCAAACCACACCAGATTAGAGACTTTATTTTTCACTTTCTAAATATTCCTGGTTTTGCTTTTTGTTAAAGTTAATATTTCTCTGATAGTATAATAGAATTTTTAAAATGCCTCAATGTCTGCCTATAATTTCCAAAATCAGAGGCAATCTTCGTCTAATGTTTTTAAATAATTTTTTTAATGGCTCTATCATTGTTTAATTTTCCTTTTTTTGTTAGAGATTATCTTCCTCTAATATTATAACATTTTAAAGGAGTAAAGAATAGCTCTATAACTGCTTAAATTTCCCTTTTTCATTCCATCATCATCATCATCCACGTGTTACGTGTGTTAATAAATTATTTATGTTTTTAAAGGATTGACCCATTAATTGTAAAACAGTTTTTATTTATAAATGACGTAGGAGATGAAAAATAACGATGAGATAAAACCCATAGCTCAAAATGATAAAAATAACAACATAAGCACATGGCTCGAAGTCCATGATAAAAATCATTGTTTAATTTTCCTTTTTTTGTTAGGGATTATATTCCTCTAATATTATAACATTTTAAAGGAATAAAGAATAGCTCTATCACTGCTTAAATTTCCCTTTTTCACATCATCATCATCATCATCCACGCGTTACGTGTGTTAATAAATTATTTATGTTTTTAAAGGAATGACCCATTTAAAAAAATGTAAAACTGTACAGTCCCAGGTGGGTTTTTTGTCTGTTTTATAATGTGTGTTTACGTTCCTTTTGACACAACTGAGATCATTTAGGAGGCGGGCTTTCTACCATGCCTGTCAGGGCCACCCAGTCAGAGAGGGATACAATGTTCCAACAGAGAGACAGGGATACTCGATCGATACAGAATCTCCCCACTGTGGAATCGAACTCCTGTCTCCTGAAAAGTTCATAACTACTGCACAACAGAAGACAGTGCCAGGGCTATGAGATACAGGACAACTCCCCGGCAAGTTGTTTCAATGTCGTAAGCCCAAAAAGCAATAATTTTTAGGAAAGAGAGAACGAGAGGGGGAGGAGAGAGGGGAGGAGAGAGGGGGAGGAGTGAGGGGGAGGA